ATTCCATTCAAATTATGACAGTCCAGCATCTGATTTAATTCTGTATTTGAGATACAATGCCTGGTGCCTTTCAGTAAAAGGAAGTTTACCAGGCTATAAGTCTTGTGCTTTCCTCCCATAATTTGAATGGAATTCTAGAACAGCGTTTGCAAAATAAGCAGTGCTCCCTATTTTTACTGGAAAGGCCTGTGTCATCAGGTACACAAGGCCTGCAAGCACAGCTCTGCCAATATTCAGTGCACTACTGCATGATATGGTCCACTTTTTTATTCCCTGATAGTGAGAAGAACCAGAGAGGTTACTTTTCCTTTCAGACTGTAGGCAAAACCATTTACAGCTACAGATCAATAATTAATACATTGGCTCCACTTTCTGACAGAGACACAAAAGGAGAACCCAAGGCTAAAGGATTTCTGCATCCCTATCATCCCAGTGGGTTTCTATTACCAAACTGAAGGGTCCTGCCAAAGCTTCTTACTGACCCAGCCACTCTTTCCAAGATACATGGCAAAAGATACTTCTCTTCCCTTCCCCAATGTTGTAATAAGAACATAAGCGGCGCCCTCCTGGTTCAGACTCCTGGCCCATCTCATCCAGCAGTCTCTTCTCACAGTGGCCAACCAACTGCACAGGGAAGTCCACTAGTGTCCCAGCAGATGGCCTTCAGTCACACTGCCATCAAGGTAAATCCATGACTTCCGTAAGTTGTATGGTGTTCCACACAAACACCAAATTAGGTTCACAGTAAGCTGTAATATGACTGGTTTGACATTAGCTCAGCATGCTTGTGAACTCAAACACTGGGATTTACAATTATGATTTAAACAAGAAAGATGACAAGAGTCTTCTCTGCATACACTTTAGCCACTCAATCACGCATGCTTCTTGGCTGGATTCACATGAGAAGCTCACGACAACCACATTTTAGTCTAGCGCCTCATGTAAACCCAGGCTGTAAGGGGTCAGTTTCTGGTCCACTATTGTATGCAAATGTTGACAATTGGGTTAATTCAGTAAACCATGGTTAAATTAACTGTGGGCAAATCTTTAATATGGACTGTCTTGCTGGGCTCAAAAGGTCCATAGCTATGATGGAGAGGAACTTTCTGCCAGTGCTTTTAAGAGATGGAGGGGACATGGAGTTGCTCAGATCTCAGGGTAAGTGTCTGAAAGACATGAGAAAAGAGGAAAGGTTGTGGGATGCTGTAAACTTCAAAATCTCTTTGTTTGTGATGACTTGTATAGGAGAAGAGGAGGAGATGCATATATTTATTACAGGCGCTTTCAGGTCACTTCAATTAAAAGAAAACAAATAGAAGCACATAAAAACTCTTCTTGAGAAAATACTAGGGATATGTCTACTGCCTTTAGGTTGGACTGAGCCCCACTGCATTTCATTTTAATCAAGAGTTCAGGCTGGTTGGCCTTTTGACACTTCTAGGCAAGTGTCTCTTTAAGAGCAAGCATATCCCTTATGTGCTTATGAATGAAAATGCTCCAATACTCCCAACATTAAAAAAATTACACTAATCTGCCAATCATAAAAATGAAGTACTCTCAGTAGGTATGACCAATATTATGGGTAAATTTCATACCCTTGTTCCCTTAGGAATGAAGGCCAGAAAGTTAGAAAGCCAGGTTAATATTATTACTAGGCATGCCACCAGACTGTGTTGTACAAGGTAAGGTTAAATGTGATTTACTTTTGTTATTGCAGCAGTCATGATAAAAAAAAGTAGACTTTTGCTATAATTAAGGTCTAAGGATGTGAGCTTGTCCTTATCATATGTCAAAATCTATTTTAAGGTATTTCTGTCATCTTCTGAGATGGGACAGCACTTGCTTTCCCATCTTTACAGAGATTTCTATGCATGAAGAAATAAGACTCTGTCTAATTCAGTGAGTCATGCTCCGAGGTGAGCGTGAATGGGATTCGAGCATCTACCCTTATCCGTTTGATAGCACTCTAGCAAAATGTTTCTTGAAAACTGAATGCAAACTTTGGCATTCTGTGATCTGCTTCACATTTTTAATGCCCCTCGAGAGCTTTGAAAAATGGATGACAAAATGAAAATCTTTTACTCAGAGAGACTAATAACTGTCCAAGCGCTCTATCTGAAAAGGGAAGAGCAAGTGCAAGTAGATTTTGGTAATACTGCATGAGGTCCACTCAGAATGAAATATCAACTACTTAATGTGGGAGGCAGAGACAGTAGACTTCAATCACCCCTGTCCCTGTTCAGCCAGCCTTCCACAGCCTCGAGTGATGCTGAATGGCTACATTCACAACTGTGTCTCCCTGAGAAATTAGATCAACTTTCAAGTACATTAAAAAGTGCAATCTTTAAACAGCATTTTCCTTAACAGCCATGCAAAACTGTCACTTCAGATTGACTTTTAAAGGCTTTTCTCAGTTGAATGTTGTTGTTCTTTACATCAGAATGCCTGATTCTTAATTACTTTGAGCTCTGAAAAGGAAAACAGAGATCACCTGGAGTCCAAGAGGAGTGTAATAGTCACTAAGAGGTGCCCAACAAAATTAAGATTTATTGTTATCTGAGCAGCCACATATGCAGGAATAGTATTTAGAAAGAACAAGCACAAGAGAGAAATATTTGAAGGAACACAGTTATTACTGGAAATGTACCAGTGCTGCAGTTCAACTATTTCCTATATTGGCATTTAGCTTTTAATTATGGAGCATGCTTAATGGAATCCTCCAAGATTACTTACTATGACCAAGCAACTAAAGATGATTATTATCATGAGCATGGTTGAAAATGGTAATTCTTGGGGGATCTACATGTTTGCTACAAGGCATATTTCCTCCTGGTTGCAAGAGGCATTATGTGAAGACTATTTTTTTTTTCCCAAAAATCACTTCTTAAAAATTTCAAGTGGAGGTGTACAAGCTCTTTGCATGTTCACATGTAAACATCTCATTTGGGGGATTTCAGTTGCTCTTTCTGCAGGATGCCAAAAATATTTTAATCTCCATCTTTCTTAATAAGCTAATGAATATATTTTAAATAATGGATACAATTAGCCCATTTTCCAGCACCTTGCAATGGACAACACGCAAGATCAAATGCTCAGTGGGATATAAACAGTACAAACTATTGAAAACTAAATCCTCATTAAGATCCAGCAGCCGTGACTCACAAGTGACCAATACATTTATACTGCCCTGCAAAGCAAGTCTTTACAAGCAACCAGAGAGTGTAATTTAATTTTCCCACCACATATGAATCTAAATAAAACCATCCACTAGTTAGCAGGACTGTACAAAGCTACTTTAATTATTTTAGGGTGTTAATGGGCCTCTTGTTTGTTTCCAACCATCAATGAACCCAGGATTACAAGTCGCTTTTACTTATTCTTTTAAAATACCTTACCTGTGCATTTTGAAAAGAAATCTAACATTTAAAAGATACAAAAATGACAATTTTCTCTGTGTTGCCATCTGATAAAGGGCAAAGAAATCTGGTGCATTAAGCAGCCAAGGAAGAGTATACGCAGCACTTTAGGAACAAAGGAAACAGAATGGCCTCAGTGAATGAGTGCTAGTTCCCCCCTAGACAAGCATGAAGGGGTTTCCTCCCCCCCACCCCCCATAGTTCACAATGAAGCTAAAGAGGGCAGGGGCTGGGAAGCCAGTAACGTAGCAAGGGTAAGCAAAATTATTTGTCTTCAAAATGCAATTCTGCAAGGCTTTTGAATCCTTGCTCAAACGTGGGGGGTGGTGTTTGCAAACAACCCATCAGTGTAAAAAGGACTGAGCAGCCCGGCGGATTAAAAATCGGCTCTGCAGCTAGATCCTTCGGATGTTTTTTTTGGAAAGGAAACTGCTGCTCTATCAGGCTTGTTCCCAAATAAGTATGTACAGAGGATTACAGTCCTAGTCAGACAAAGCTACCAGCATGCAATGGCTAACTTGCCTGAAAAATATAGTCTACTCTCCCCATACACACACACACACACCCGCCCCAGGCAGAAGTATCCTGAGAACAGGAAGGATTGGTGTCCTGTAAGTTGAACAAAAATCAGAAGAGAAAGCAAGCAATATATCCAGGGATTCCGATTTTAAACACAACTCCCCCCCTTTCTAGTCCTTCCTCCCCCGCGGCTTTGGCTGTAGGCCACCGTTATAACGTGGCCATTGTCTGGAAAGTTGCTGAGAGCCGTTTAATTATGCAAGGCTTTTGTTTGTTTAATTAAATTTCACCCGGCGCCTAAATCAGAGGCTCCCCCCCCCCAGCACACACTCCCTGAGCACTCTCTAAAAATAAACTCGCTAGACAGGGAAAGGCCACAATCCGTCTGCGAGATTCGGTGCAAGAAGGGAAGAGGCAGGAAAGTTACCTTGCAAACCAGCTGCTCCTCGCTGTGCAGATGTACGGCCCGGAAAATGTGATCCCCTTCCAGAGGCTCCAGGAGTAAGTATTTCCCAATGCAAGAAACGCAATGCGACAAGTTCGGAGTCTCTGGCGGGCTCGGTGAGCCAAGGTTGGGGCTAAAACTCTGGCTGGATTCGGTCTGTCTTATAGTCGAGAGCTCTTCGAAATCCTGGGTTTTATTCCGAGGTCTTCCATACCGTGCTATCGTGATGGGGGTTGACCTTTGTATGTTCATGGGGATGGAGAACAAACCCTCCAAGAAATCCCCCCAATTTCTCTCTCTCGCGCGCACACAACCCTTCGGTGTTATCGGTCGCTCGCCTCAGGCCGGCCGCACGAATGCCTTTGTGCTGTGGTGGGAAGAGTGCTCGGAGGGCAGGTTTATGCGGGATCTACAGTCCACTTGGTAGCGCAAAGAGAAACCGGAGCTCGCACATCGGCGGGGGAACGTGGGATCAGCCGAGCGGTTCTTCCCACCGAGCCCCGGCACGTTCGCTTCGAACGCCGGCTATCTTTGTGCTCAGGAGCTGCGAAGTAACGCAAAGTAGCGAACGGAGCAAAACGGGGCCTTGCAGGGAACGCCGCCGGGTTTACAATAAAAACGCCTGGAAACGCGGGTTCGTTATCAGTCTCCGATTCCTAGTCGCTCCCCTCGAAATCTTCACACGGTGACTTGAACGTGCTACAGCAGACGGCGGGGTTCTCTTTTTCTTGCTTTTTCAATAGGTTTTTTTTTAACCTACTTTAGACTGTAGATGGCGTCTGATCCTTTTTCCTCGTGGAAAGGACTATTCAGAAAAGCATCCAGAAACAAATAAATAAAAAATAGCAACCGAGTATTTAACTTCAGCGGGTTACCGAGAAGCTCCGCTAACGGTGCGGGAGTACGCTATTGGATAGCAGGGTTTTTTTTCTTTCACGCAACCTCCTTTTCGGTGGAAGCAAGCCGTTTCCCAAACTAAAGGCGCCGCTCCTACCAGGAAATGAAGTGCGCAAAGCTCCACAAGCTGCGGCGCTGATTTGGTGGCGTGCGTCGGCTTCCTTTGATCAGACGGAAAAGTGCAATCAAGGACAAGGCTAGATCGATGCTCTTTAGCTTTCCATTGGCCTGGAGATGATTTCCTCCGGTCTTTCTTCGTTGTTCCCCAGATCGTTTGAGTGCAGCGTACATGCAAGCAAGGAAAGAGACCACGAAGGGCGAAAAAAAAGGGAAAGCGCTGCAGGGGAAAAAAAAACACCCTCCCGACGGTCTTCTTAGCCCCCTCCCCAGAGTCCTGAGATGCAGAAAAAGAGGAAGGAGGGAGGCAGGCGATGCAGCCACTTCGATATGAGTGTGCGTATGTATGAATGTATGTGTGTATATTTCCGGCGTCGATCTTTATTCCTAGAGGTAGAAGGAGGGGGGAGGAAAGGGATGGCCGAGCCAATCCCTTTCAGCAAGACATCGTCTCTTCACCATGTATTAATAGTTACTTACGTGGCTGAGAGTCTTGCTGCTTCTCGCCGTGCCTCCCTACTCAGCGTCAGAAGCGGCGGCGGCGGCAGCTGTAGCAGCAACTCCGGCGCTACACTGACACCGCGCAGCGGCTCACTGCCCGCTCCTCGCCGCGGCGCAGCGCTCTGGCTGCCAGGAGAACGCCCGCCCCACGCCGAACGGCCTCCCCATTGAGCCAAGGAAGCGTCAATCACGCGAGCAGCCTGCCAACCCTCTCTACGTCTCCTCCTCCTCCTCGTCTTTCTCCTTTCCACTCATTCAATGAGCCGGTTTCAGGGTAAACAAGGTGAAATATCCTTCCGCTGAGCAGGCTGTGAAATACGAGCTTTGTGAGCAGTTTCTAGCGGCTACTGTTGCTACTACTGCTACTACGGCGTTTCATTGACCTCTGCTCGTTTCCGTTTCGGCCGAGTTCTTTCGGTTTTTTCTCCCCCCTCGGAGCTGGGCGGAGTTTTCTGTCCATTTATGTCCAAGTGCATTTGGCCCGTTTTATGAATCAAAAGACTCGCTTTAACCGATCGTGTAAACCCAAGCAGTATCGTAACGAAAAGCATTTCCCTCATATTTACCTTGTGTAAGGATGGATCGTTTGCTCAGCCGAAATGTAGGAAGATCTAAAAAGAACCACGAAGGCACAATGTCTAAATAGGGTTCCTGTGTTTTTGTTGATTGATGGGAGAAAATGCAGTTAGGTCATGCTTTTCCTCTCTGGTTAACAAATGAAAGCCCAGGAATCCACCCCAAATGACTAACATCTTCAAGTACTGTATTACAGGGGTGGCAGGAACCTGCACTTTCCCCAGGAGACCTAAATTTGGATAGTACATTCTGTTAATGGCCATGGTTTGATTAAGCGTAGTTTGACTAAACCGCACTTGGTTTAGAACACATCGTACTAAGTCATAAGCTGTGGTTTAGAAGCAAACTTATGGTTGTAAAAGTGTGGCACACACACACCCTTTTAGCTTCATCTGGAGTAGCTGATATTATTTATCTGAAGTAGCAACCCCTTTCTGTTTGCTCAAATCAGATACACCACATTTCTCCAATCTTCCTTTGACCTGACTGACCCAACCTCTGTCAACAGCAGTCCACCTGCAGGCTATTTCATTGACTCTTTGTATTTGATAGGTCTTAGCTAAGCACTTTTGCAAATTAAAAATGTGAGGTACAACATACAAGGTAAAGAGAATAAATACTATAGCAACACATTAGTCTAGCGCAATATGAGGGGCTAGGTTCCCACATTGCACTAAGCTGTAATAGGTGTCCTTTGATTTTGACATGTTGTGTGAATCCACATAACATATGTGGCTTAATCAACAACTATGGTTAACCCACGTGAATCCAGCCAATGTCACTTTTTGCAAAATATAGAGGCTAACTAGGGGAAGGGGCTTCATTTCAGAAGATGGGAAATATTTGATATTTATTTGCAGTGTATCTATATTAATTATATTTAATTTTAATTAAATGAAATGGAAGTGAAATCAGATTTAGTGTCTCTCCTGACCTCATCTGTTACTTATAGGGGTGTGTCCTCTGCCACAACCCTCCAAGATGAAGTGTGGCCCTTGACCTGAACAAAGTTGAAAAACCTTATAGTTCAATGGAAAAACTGGCCTTCTTCTATGCACTTGGATTGTCAATTGATTTTGACCCTCAGCAAAAAAAAAAAAAAAAAGTGTTTTTGATTTAATAATGCACATATCTTTGTTGGCACCTAGCCAATCTTGGCTGATCTCAAGAAACTTAGTAGGGCTGGACCTTTTAGTACTTGGATGGGAGACCACTAGAAAATCCTTGGGCTATTGACTAGACTGAGAAATTGGGGGGAAAATCTCCTGGAAGAAGACAATAACAAATCAAGATGTTGTTGTCGGCAGGCGGGGGAAGCCTACAGGGACTAAGGGAGAAGCTCAATTTAGAGGATTCTTGACTTGACTTGTATCATTGTTGTTTTCTGGGCTACTGTGTTAAAGAGTTTGACATAGAGAAGTACTTCAGAAACAAGCATGTTTACCTGACACATTCTAATGGGGTCACCTCTCTACCTAGGTCCTGTAGTTTTAATAGTGCATGATTGTAATAATTTGACTGATGGAAATGAATGTGGTAATTATTATTTTTCTGTCCTTTTTATCCTGCCACCTCTTTTTTTGTGTGTCAGGCTAGCAAGGCAAGCAAACAGTGCTGAGCCCAAGTGTATTCCAAAGGGAAAAGAATGAATATCAAAGAAAAAACTTCATAAAAGAATGTATAATTTGAAGAATAATCTACTATTACCTCCTGATGAGAAAATGTACCCAGGGTACCAATATAAATCAAAACTAGATGGGTGGCAAAATGGATTTTTTGATTAGCTTTACAAAGTGTGAAAGCAATTTTCTTCCAAGTAGAAAGCATCGCTTGGAATCCCTTTGAAAA